GAGGTAATTTAAAGCCTTCTGACTTAAAAAAAAAAAAAAAAAAAATGTCAGTTTCTACAACTGCCATAGAACCCTTGAAGAAAATAAAAATCTAATGAGAGTAGAACTTTAAGACAATACATTATATTTGTCGGTTTATAAAATTGCTTTTAAATGTCACAATAAAACCTAGGCCCTTTTAGGGTTTTTCTTCAGTCTTAGCCATAACAATGCAGACTGTAACTCGAATACGCTTGTGTCCTAGGCATAAAGCACACCAACCAGCACAGCTAGGCTTGATTAAAGCAACTGGAGCTGGAACAAACGGGCAAAGCTTTATCTCCCTCTACAAAAAAAAAAAAAAAAAAACCACCTTTAGTCCAGACGATATCTTATTTCCAAAAGCAATCTCGTGATCGTTTTTGCACAGCAACAAAGATGGCATGCAGGGTTTCAAGTAATCTCTTGAAAACAAAAAAAAAAAAAAAAAAATTAACCACCACTCTGAGTTACTTACAGATGACTAATTCAGGTGGCCCAGCTCGTAGGCTCTCTGTTTCTTCTCTGCCAAGGCCCAGTTAAGAACATTTCCCTGATGCGACCCCTTTTCTCAGAAATCTGACCAGCAACTGACTTGAAAGCGTTGAATGACTAACCTACTGAAACTGACAGCCCAGGGTTATCCCACATTTCTCATGAGAGTCAGGAATTCTAAAACATCCTGAAATAAGGATGCGTCATAAAATTAATGGTATATCATAATGTGACACCAATTGTTTAAAAAAAAAAAAAAAAACATAAAATAATGGTGCATCTTAAAGTTGACAGCATCTTAAAGAAAAAAAAAAAAAAAAAAAAGTTAAACCTTACAGGTTTGTTATGGAGTAAAAGGAGTAAAAGGAACCCTAAAACGATAAGGAGTAGTGGGGATGCTAGCAAATACGGCACTGCTACCACGTCTCCAGGGCCACCACATGGACCCACCAATTGTGCCAGGTGAGAATGGAGCCCCAATGAGGTCAGATTTTTGCCATTTTCTGTAAAAATTCCCAAGCTTTAAAACACAGTGGAGACCATACTAAGCAAGCCTCCTGGTCAGTTAAGAACTAGAAGTCTTTGGTTTACAACTTCTGATGTTCATCTCCATTGCAAATCAACCTCAACAACCTAACTATGAAAACCTTTCAAGATGGGCGCCTGGGTGGCTCAGTTGGTTAAGCGACTGCCTTCGGCTCAGGTCATGATCCTAGAGTCCCGGGATCGAGTCAAAAAAAAAAAAAAAAACTCAGC